GGGAGGCTGGGGTTGGAGGACGCGGGCGACGGCTGCAGGCAGGGCTGCGGGCTGTTGAGGGAGCCCGTGCTGTGCGCGCTGTAGACGCTGCCGTTCCGGGTCCGGCCGCCGGGGTCCAGCTGGGCTCTGTCCAGGCTCGTCTGCGAGTGACAGTAGTATCCGTTCTGGCTGGGCACAAAGAGGTTGTCTGAAACAAGAAGTTCAAAGCCAGACGTGTAAGAGGAGGGTCGGGCGCGGTGGCGCACGCCGGTCATCCCGGCACGTGGGGAGGCCGAGGCGAGGGGACTGCTTGAGCTCAGGAGTTCAAGACCAGCCTGGGCAACATGGCAAGACTCCGTCTCTACAGAATTTGAGGGAGTGGGAGAGGGAGAGGGTAGAGGGAAAGGTGGGGGGTGGAGAGAGAGCGAGAGACAGAGAGAGAAAGAACGAACACACACGCTTAAGTCAGTTCAAAATGAGACGTTTAAAAGGAAGGGCAGACCTGGTGGCACACAGCTGTAGGCCAAGGCCAGAGGATGGCCCGAGCCCAAGATATCAAGGCAGCCTGGGCGACAGAATGAGATTCTTGCTTAAAAAATAAATGAGATCTCACATCAGTTCACAGTGAGATTTTTAGACTGGACTAGCGACATTTTTAGCCTACCATGTTAAAATCCCTGCTGCAGTAACCTGTATTCACCACACCATCTGGGAGACCCTGAAGACCTACAGGACGGATGGCTCTGCCTCCTCACAGGGCATTCAGGATCTGACGTCGGTCAAGATGAGCCAGACCTAAGCCAGTGTTCCCAGCATGGCCGTGTCACAGAACGCTGTCTCCTTCTGCCAGCTGATAACGTGCTTCACCAGGTCCCCACTGCTGCCTGCTGGCTCCTCAGCCTGTCTGCACCGGCCTCCCACCCAGCCGGCATCCTCACCTGCAGGCTCCTCTGAACCCCGCAAGCCATCCCATCGCCTGTGTCCCCATTAGGTGGACAGGACCACACTAAGGGTGGAAGGGAAAAGATGGGAACGCAGACAGGGGAAGGGGTACCACAGTCACCACAACTCAAGGGGGGAGAAGACTGAGGCACAGAGTGCAGAGGAGGGAGGGTAGCTCCCAACGGGGTATTGGATGTGGCCAGAGAGGAGAGGTCAAACAGCCTTGAGGAAGACAAGGGGCCATGGGGGGGCAGGTGGGCATGGCCAGGCTCCACAAGGCATGCAAGGGGCCTTCAAAGGTGACTGAAGTTTAAACATGGAAGAATAAAGACACAATTTTTTAAAAATAAATTCCAGGTTTTTTGGGGTCCTCCTCCTATGAAGTGAATGTTAGATGATGGTCACCGTTGTGACACAGTTCCTTACACTTCACACATGAACACATGGCAACCGAGTATTTCAAACTTTACACCGGAAAGTCTCTGGCAGGAAACAAAGACAGCCTGGGGTCTTTGGCAGAAAACAAGGAGGCCCCCACAAGCTACTCGGGAGGACACAGGACCCAGCTTGATGAGCTCCCATGGGCCAAAGGGACTGTGCCAGCATCTCAACTGGATAGTGCCTATTTTTACATACATCCAGGAACCTGGAGGTGATGGCTGCTTTTAGGAGCGCAGGAGGGCTGTTACCATGACAATGATCTGGGCATAACTTCAGCCAAAGACCACGCAGGCCTCAAGGTCTCCAGCCCCCATAGTCTGACCCACACCCGGCAGGTGGGGTCAAGCATGGTACCTTGGGAAGAAGCATAGGGCTCAGTGTAGTGGCCGTTGTAGTGCAGTGGGGCCGGCGGCATCACATAGGGCTGGGGCTGGAAATGGAAAGGGGGGCACAGGGTTAGAACTCGCTGACTGTGACATACAGGTAATGCCATTGTCTCTGGATCGTCCCTGTGTTCAAAAACTTCCAGGAGTTGAATACATTCAATATGGAAAATAAACATGAAGACGCAGTATAGCTCTTTCGATATATGTCACTTTCAATGTTCCCCCCCAAAACGGACAGTGCCACGCCCTGTGTAATGACACCAAGGATGTTACAGCACAAGATAATCTGCATCCAGAAAGGTCAGAGTCCAGCCTGGCAACATGGCAAGACCTCGTCTCTACAAAAAATCAAAAAATTAACCAGGCATGGTGGCACGCACCTGTAGTCCCAGCTACTCAGGAGGCTGAGGCAGAAGGATCACCTGAGCCCAGCAGGTCGAGGCTGTGGTGGCCATGAGTGTACCACTGCACTCCAGCCCGGGCAACAGAGTGAGACCCCAACTCAAAAAAAAAAAAGAGTAAGAGAGCCAGGTGCAGTGGCTCACACCTGTAATACCAGCACTTTGGAAGGCTGAGGTGGAAGGATTGCTTGATACTAGGAGTTCAAGATCAGCCTGGGCAACACAGCAAGACCTCAGGTCTACAAAAAATAAGCCCATTGTAGTGGCACATGCCTATAGTACCAGCTACTAGAGAGGCTGAAGGACCACTTGAGCCCAGGAGGTCAAGGCTGAGGTGAGCTGTATTCGTGCCACCATGCTCCAGCCTGGGTGACAGAGAGAGACCCAATTAAAAAAATATATATAAAAAGTTAAGAGCAAGAGGGGACAGACCCAAATTTCCTTGTATGAACATTTGAATGTAAGAGGCCTATGTATAGTATTTTCAGTCTTCTTAGACAAGTCATGTAAGTTTTAAATATATACCAGCTCATAGTTACTCTTGGCTAACAGTCAAAGTTCCTACTATCAGGTTGGTCTTGGTATTTCAACATGTATAATATAAATACTAGGTCAGACCTGTGGAAAAGACACTGTTTCTTTGGCTAAATGATCAAGCTTCAGCACACTTCCATGGTTCAAGCTCAAAATTATCACTAGCAGGCATATTTTATTAAGGAAAAGCACACCACTAAAAGAAGAAAGCCAGTATTTTCCTTCTTACCAGGGACACCCTTGAGGATGACCTCCGCCTGACCGGGTTCACCGGGATGGCCTGAGTTTGCCTGTGAAATAAGATGTCATTGAGAAGAGTGCTTGCGTGTGAGTACATGTGAGACACAAGAAAACAAAACAACAAATCTAAGGTGAAAAAGACACATGAACTTGTCATGGATCAGAGAAGAGAAGGGAGGGTCTCTGTCAGCCTGTTCCTTCCCACCACCCCAACTCTCAACCCACACCCCGAGGCCCCAGCCTCCCTGGCCACATCAGTGCCTGAATCTCCAGAGGGGTCACAGGAGCATCATTCCCAGCCCAACTGGTGAACCGTGGAGTGGCCAGGAGCAGGGGGCAGACACAAGGCCATGATATCCCATGCTTGTCCAGGGAAGCAGATGCTTCTCTTCTGCGCCAGGTGAGCCCTGATGGCCTCTACTTCCATCCTGAGGTGAGCCTCACCTGTCCACCCAGAAACCAGAAGCAGTAAGGACTCCTTTAATTAAAAGTCTATTAAACACACACTGCAAACATGATAAAGAGATGAATTTATAATTTTGGTGACTCAATAATGATTCTGGGCACGGTGTTGTGCACCTGTATATAACCTGCTGGATTCAGACGATCTTTCTGCCTCAGCCTTCCAAGTAGCTGGAACTACAGACATGTGCCGCCACGCCCGGCTAATTTTTTTTAAAGTTTATTATAAAGTTTAAAGGTCTCGCCAAGTTGCCCAGGCTGGTCTCAAACCCCTGCACTCAGGCAATCCTCTCACCTCGGATTCCCAAAGTACCAGGATTATAGGCCTGAGCCACTGTGCCCAGCTAAATATATATTTCTAAAAGCACCTAAGAGTGTTAAGGAATGCTGACTTTTACCTGGTGATTTTAAACTATTCACACAGCAAGTTCCATCTTAGAATAAATAATTAGCTTTAAAAAAGAAAAAGAAAGTCGGATTCGGTGGCTCAGCCTGTAATCCTGCGCCTTGGGAGGCTGAGGTAAGTGGATTGCCTGAGCCCGCGGGTTCGAGACCCACCTGGGTAACTTGGTGAGGCCTCATTTCTACAATAAATCAAAAAATCAGCCGGGCATGGTAGCGCGTGCCTGTAATTCCAGCTACTCAGAAGGCTGAGGCAGAAGGATCGCCGGAGCCCAGTGGGTCGAGGCTGCAGTGGCCGGAAGCGGCCACTCTACTCCAGTCTAGGTGACAGAGTGAGACTCCAACTCAAAAAAAAAAGAAAAAGAAAAAGAAAAAAAAAGCCCATCTGTAACTACTGTTTTTAAATAAAGGCAAGATTTTTTTTGTTCTTCTGTGTGGTCAGTTTTATTGCAAGTAAGATCTAGGAACACATCAGATTCTTGGCGTTGTTGGTGACATGTACTTTTGTTAAAGACCTTTTTCTTAAACCTTTTACCATCTGTTCCTGGCTCATGAGCTTATGTGACACATAACTGATGATGAAAATATTTTGTGACCTTTGGTTATGGTATTCTAAGAACTAACTACTAGAAAACTCATCACCCCAAGGTGAACATTTGATCCATTTAATCAGCCAATTTTATAATATCAAGCCTCATGTTTCCTAAATCAACATTCTTCTTAGCACTCTAACAACAGGTGTCTTATATTCAAGTCTTGAATATTAGCTTATTTTTGAGACTTTTGAAACAAAAAGAAAACTAGTGCACATTATGAGCCTAACACCAGGTGACTATAGATTTTTCCTTTTTTTTTTTTTTTCAGTTCAGAGTACGACTGTTGCCTGGGCTGGAGTGCAGTGGCATGCTCACAGCCACCACAGCCTTGACCTGCTGGGTTCAGGTGGTCCTTTCACCTCAGCCTTCCAAGTAGCTGGGACTACAGGCACATGCCACCATGCCTGGCTAATTTTTTTTTTTTTTTTAAATTAATTGTAGAGACAAGGTCTCACCAAGTTGCCCAGGCAGGTCTTTCCCTGAGCTCAGGCAATCCTCTCACCTCCACCTCCCAAAGTGCTGGGATTACAGGTATGAGCCACTATACCCAGCTTATAGCTGCTTTTACAGGATGACTTTTTAAAAATAATTTCATTATCACTAGAAAGTATTCAGGTTGTTGACAAAAAAAAAAAAAATACATCTCTTTTTCAAAGGGTGACCTGTTCTTCCGGTATTTATTTTGCTGAAAACAGGTCTGCATGGTGCATCTGGCCTTTTAACTGCATGTTCATACGTCCCGTGGACCTCATGCCCCACAGCTGGAGATATGGCATCCTGCAGCCTTAAGATGTTCTCTGTCTCGTTTACTCCCATCGTCAGGGCTAAGTCTGGGCAAACTGGGTCCTGAGTCTTCTGTTCAGTTAGAGACTCCCTGTCTCAATGGACTAAACTTGAGTTTTCGAAGCACTATGAACTTAGCAGGGTGCAGTGTGGCTCACCCCTGTAATTCCAGCACTTTAGGAGGCCAAAGCAGGAGGACTGCCTGAACCCAGGGATTCAAGACTATCCTGGGCAACTTGGCGAGACCTCGTCTCTATAATAAATTGAAAAATTAGCCAGGCGTGGTAGTGCATGCCTGTAGTTTCAGCCACTTGGAAGGCTGAGGCAGAAGGATCACCTGAGCCTAGTAGGTTGAAGCTGCAGTAGCCATGAGCATGTCACTGCACTCCAACCTCAGCAACTCCAACTCAAAAAAAAAAAAAAAAAAAAGAATTCAGAAATGGAGAGAAAGCATTGCTCGCAGAATTCTTTTTCAACAAACTCCAACGACATGTCCACAGCTGCCCAACCTGGGACAGAAATGAAACTTGAAGAGTGCGGAACGCAAAACCCTAGATGCAGAGCCTGGGCACATGACGGCATCTTGGCACCCTGTGCGGAGATAACACTGCCCACTGCAGACACCAGGTCTGTAAACACAGCAAACCATGCGATAACCTTCCGCTTGGCCCCTCACCACCAGCTCCAACATTCTCACCTCCTCTCTCCTACTGGCACTGTCCTGTAAATGCAGTCGACACAGAGGACAGCTGTTCTCAATTCAGCATGAAGAGAAGCCAATGAGACTATTGGCTGTGGTTTCCAACCTCTGGGGCAGTCACTATGTTGACGGGTGCTGCTAAAAACATGACAGCTCAAGAACGCTGAGAAGATACCACTAGAATGTGTGCACCAAAGAAGGCAATAAAAAAGGCTGAGCCACACATGGTGGCACACGCCTGTAGTCACTGGTACTTGGGAGGCTGAGGTGGGAGGACCGCCAGAGAGCAGGAGTGCAAGGCTGTAATGTGCAATAGTCGCCCCTGTGAAGAGCCCCTGCACGCCAGCCTGGGCGACACAGCGAGACCCTGCCAGCCCGAGTAAACTCCATGTTGCTAGCATGGAAACCATGCTAAGGACAGTGCATGATTATCCCCTGGAATCTGATACCATGCCCATAAGGGAGGCCCAGTTATTATCCGGATTCCACAGATGAGGACACTGATACTTGGAGAAAGTAGGTCACTCCCGGTCACACGGCATCAAGTAGCAGCTCTGCCAGGTTCCCAAGTGACGGCCTCTCACAGAGATGGGTCTGAACCCTCCAAGCTTCAACTGACACATAAGCTCCATGAACTCCAAGGACACACCATGGCATCCCGGGTGCCTAGCACACGGGAAGCTCCCAAACATTGGCTGAACAAATGAATGACACAGTGAGTGAGGACTGAGTTGATGCTTCCTCCTACACACGGAGGGCTGAGCTCCCTTTTCCAAGAGCATCCCCACTTGGCTTTTGAGATTCCTTTCCTGCATGTTTGTAGCTAATGAAGGGGAGTGAGATGGTGACTAACAACAACAACAAAAAAAAAAACGTGTTGCTGGCTCATGTGTAATCCTAACTACTCGGGAGGCTAGATGGGAGAATCGCTTGAGGCCAGGAGCTCAAGACCAGCCTGGGCAGCACAGTGAGACTCCATCTGAAAGGACATAAGATGGAATCAGACATACCCAATGAGCAGCCATCTTGATACTGCCTAGTTCTGTCATATTCTGTTAACATTACTTAACTTGCCCTTCTAATCAAGGACAGAACCAGTTTCTCAGAGGTAGCTACTGATAATTGTTTTACAACCCCTTCCCCAGCTTGTTCTGTAAACATGTTAATCTAATCAACCCTTTATGACACAGACCCTATCACCACAGCAACAGACATGTGACTAACCCACTCATCTGCCTGCCGGCCATCACCTGACGTGTGTACCTGCCCTCTGTGATGACATTGAGCAGACAACCACCCAATCACCTTAACGACCTTCATCCATCAAAGTGAAAGTTTAAAAGCATTCAACCTCAAGCAGCCACTGGGCATTGCTTTGCTAAATTCTGGTCTAGCCATGCAGCTCTTTGAGCTATAGCCGCCATTATTTTCCTAGCCTTGGTCCCCTCCTCTACCTTGAGGAGAATCTCTCCTTCCTCCCTCCCTCCCTCTAATTTATTTTCTAAATAAACTATATTTTCAGAGCCGGGCTCAGTGGCTCAGCCTGCAATCCCACGCCTTTGGGAGGCTGAGGTGAGTGGA